AAGGCTTCGGTTTCCACGTGGACCCAGCCGGCGCTGACCTGTTCCCAGCACACAGCGGTTTTCCCAGTACGCAGGGACACGGCGCCCTCTGCTGGAACCTGTAGGTAACTACTCTTTAGCCCTCAGGTTCAAACAGAACCTGGAAATGTCGCACACCTCCACGCTCAGGCGGCCCCCTAACCACTTAAAGCAGAATCTTGGGGTGTGGCTAGAGTGTCGGTAATTTTCCAAGTTCTGCATACCCAGTGGAGACTGAGGGTCACCGATGTAAGGATTATTTAATATGCAAAGAAACCAGTCTGGAATGGGAAAAGCAATGTTGAATCAAATTTCCCTAGATGAAATCCCTCCATTCATCCATTAAAAATAACCGTGTGAGACTAACCTGGTTCTGAGAATCCTGGGACTCCTCAGGACTACAGGGAGGATTTAAAGGTGCCACAATTATCTTAGTAGCAGGCTACGCCCTCAGAGGTCCAAAGTCCAGCCTTGGTTGGGTCAAGATTACTACTAGTGTGAATAAAATGAGTAAATGATTTACATTTGGCCCTTGGAGTTTTGTCAGTTTATACACACTAACACAAAGGATCTTGAATTTGACCCTGCATCAGGATCAGCTGTTAGTTTAAGAGACAGATAGCTGAGTGGTGGACTAGCCCACAAGGGCAAGAGGCCCCAGGTTCATTCCTAGCACTGAAAAAAAAAAAAAACATTGCTGGCCCCACGACCTGACTTTCTGACTCGATAGGTTCATGGTCTAGGACCACACTTAGAGAATCGTGCTTTAAAATTGGGCCAGATCACACTGGTGGCTCATGCCTGTAATCCTCAGGAGGCAGAGAGCAGAAGGATGGCAGTTCAAGGCCAGCCTGAGCAGATGGTTCATGAGACCTATCTCGAAAATACCCAGCACAAAACAGGGCTGGCAGAGTGGCTCAGGTGGTAGAGCACCTGCCTAGCAAGTGTGAGGCCCTGAGTTCAAGCCCCAGTACCATTAAAAAAAATAATGGAGCAGATCAACATTCCTTTTCAAGTCTATGCCTGGTCTAGCATCATGGGGATTCCTGCTTCACCCCAAATCTCCTAGGTACTTCTGGCAGGCAGGATAGCACATCGTACGTAATGATTTTTAAATGCAAAACAAATCAAGTCTTATGTCTCAAGTGCTTCCCAATCAAAAATATGATATTGGGCTTTACCCTACTAGGCCCTAGTCCAGAGGGGTCCTGTTACAAAAGAGCCCCAGTCTTTGTAGAGGAAGGAGATAAAATCTTGCACACCCTGTCCACCAGCCTCCTGGACTAGGACCTAACAGTATGTATCATAAACTCTGACAGCTTAAACATACGGCAAATGAGCCGGGTGCCATGATTCATGCCTGTAATCCTAGTTACTCAGGAGGCAGAGATCAGGAGGATTGAGGTTCAAAGGCAGCCCGGGAAAATAGTTCATGAGACCCTATCTCAAAAAACCCTTCACAAAAAAGGTTTGGTGGAGTGTCTCAAAGTGAAGGCCCTGAGTTCAAGCCCCAGTACCTCACACACACACACAAAATCCAATGAATGCAACAGAATCTCAATAGCACAGTGATATGACATTAACATCCATTTTCAAAGGCCATGAAAAACTCTTCTTACTGACAATGTGGAATTGTCCCCAAACACTGTGCTCCTAGCAACAGCAATGGTTAAGAAGCTGGCCTCCATCTTTTCGTGCTCTGGAAACAGCTTACCTTGAAGGAACATGGGCTGGTGGAGTGGCTCAAGTGGTAAAAGCAGCACCTGCCTAGCAAGCAGGAGGCCCTGAGTTCAAACCCCAGTGCCACCAAAAAAAGCGGGGAGGGGGGAAGAGCAGTGCTGAAATCAGCCCTGTAGATTTGTTTGCTGGGTGCTGATGGCTCACGCCTGTAATCCTAGCTACACAGGAGAAAGAGATCAGGAGGATCTCAGTTCGAAGCCAACCCGTGCAAATGGTTCGAGAGACCCTATCTCCAAAAAAACCTCTTCATCACAAAAAAAGGGCTGGTGGAGTGGCTCAAGGTGTAGGCCCTGAATTTAAACCCCAGTACCACAAAAAGAAAGAAAATGCTTGTTAACCCAAGTTTGCTTAAGTCTTGTCCCTCCCAAGGGTCCGGGAATTCCAGCCTGCCCTCACACTGAGCCAATATATATAGTCTCCCCTTAACAGCCCTCCGGAGAACAGGCTGGCATGGGGCAAAGCATTCTCTGACACCATCCTTAATGCCACCCACCTCCCATACCCAGTTCTTCCTGGTGCTCTTAACTCCCCTGGAAAAGAGAAAATTCTGGAGATTTGTAGATTTTATAGGCAGAGTGTTCCCCCTATGTTGGAGTCTCACTGCCTCTTGTCCCACTCCAAATCCAAAATAATCCTTTTAAATAAAGTCCCTCCTTACAAAATCTGAATTTTTTAAATTTGACATTCTATGCACTATTTTTTTTTTTGCCTTGAATTTACAGTTGCATTCAGCTTACGTTACAGCATTCTCTCTAGACATCATATATTTTGCTTCATATTTTAGGGCGCACCCTATTGTGCCTTTTTAAATGCCACGAAATTACATAGATCAATTTGAATATGCTAACTAAAAAAATTCTGTGACCTTTTTTTTAGATAGGGTCTTGCAAACTATTTGCCCAGGGCTGGCTTTCAACCTCCATCCTTCTGATCTCTGCCTCCTGAATAGCTAGAATTACAGGCATGAATCACCAGGGCTCAGCTGACCACAGGGTTCTAAGTTCATCTTTTCCTTCCAGATCTGGAGCTATTGTTATGATTATTAGTGATCAAAACAAAGAGAGAATCCCATTACATGAGAATTGCAAATTTCCACAATTATCCCCCAAATCCATCACAGGAGCAACTCTGAAAAGCTGGTCCTTTTGTAATAGGACATCTGTACCTTTGTGGACAGCAAATGCAGACAGAGGCATTTCTGATCCACCTCTGCTTGTAGGGCTCTTTTCATTGGAAGAAGAAATTTGGGACTTGACATCTGGTCTGGACAGAGTGACATAGATGGCTGTTAGGGAAGACTTCATTGCATAACAAGACACCCCTTGCTTCTGGTGCCTTCCTCCCTCGCAGTCTTTGGTAGCCTGTCCCACGGCTGACCCCCAGAACCTTAGAAACTGCCTCTGCTGAAAAGCACGACTCTCACTTGGGCCCAGGAATTAACTAAAAATAGGAGAAAAGCCTGGCATTTTCCATTTCTGTTTCCATTTTGTACCTCCTGTCTTTTGCTCTGAGCCATTCACTGTATGGCAAGGGACCAAAACTACCCCTAAGGAACAGCTGAGCCTTGCAGGACAGACCACCTCTCAAAAGAAGACAATTACCTGTAATGACGTGGATGCACCCTGGAGCAGATGTGATTATCCCATGGGTACCAGATCACTCCCCTGAGTGATGACAGTGACAACTTCTCCAGAGCCCCAGAGAAGCAGCACTGGGATAAAGACCAACCAGATCACACCTGTAACTAGGGCTGTTTGACTATGCATATCTTTTGCACTCTGCCCTGATTCTCTGTCTATTTAAAGCTAAAACTCAGGTCTGTACCCCAAAGATGGCTGAAGATGGGCCTCTTCCCGCCCTGTGGCATGTCTCTGCCATGTCTCTTTATTTGGCATATAGGGGCGAGTGGCCAGTACTGACTGTGGACGCCCAGGAGTTTGGGTCCAAGGCCTAAAAACTCTGGTTTCATCTCTTGCAATCACCTTGGGTTCCAGGAAGGACAGGACTGATGGAAAACATCTTTATGGCAAGGGACCAAAACTGCCCCTAAGGAACAGCCTTGCCTTGCAGGACAGACCACCTCCCCAAGTAAGGACAATTACCTGTAATGAGGAGGCTGCTCCCTGCAGCGGGAGTGGTCATGTCCTGGGAACCAGATCACTCCCCGGAGTGATGGCCACTCAGTCCTCTCATAGAGCCAGAACTGAAATGATGGTCAACTAGGCCACACTTTGCCTGGGACTGTTTAATCATGCAAGCTTCTCTCCCCTGACCCTCGTTTTTCCCGTTTACACCTAAAGCCCATGTCTGTACCCCGAGATGGGCTGACCTGCTTACTCTGCTTCTTCTGGGGGTGAGCCCATGCCTCATAAACCTCCTTTCTTTGCCCTTGACCACTACTTAGCTTGCTCTCTCTCTTTTTTTTTTTTTTTTGTGAAGGCCCTGGGGTTTGAACTCAGGGCCTCAGGCAAGCTTACCACCTTGAGCCACTCCAGGACAGGTTTTTTTTGGTTTTTTGTTTTGTTTTGTAATGGTTTTTTCGAGATAGGGTCTGGAGAACTCTTTTTCTGGGCTGGCATTGAACCATGACCCTTCTGGTCTCTGCCTCCTGAGTAGCTGGGATTACAGGCGTAGCCACTGTGCCCAGCTACTAATTATCTCTTTATTTGGCGAGTGGCCAGACCTGCTATGTGGAATCCCAGGACTTAGGCCTCTACCCGGGTTAATACAGTTTGCACGTTTTTCTTATTCATTGTCAGTTTATTTTATAGATTAAAATGATCGAGTTGTCAGAGAGAAAACAGCAAATTTAAAACTTCCCTATACGAGTAAAGTATTGCAAACTAAATGAGAAAGCACACAAGATGCAAACCTGACTTCTTGAAGAAATGGTGTCTTATTTCACTGAACCCCTAAGGACTCTGCAGGAAGGGGCGACTGCTCTCATCCTGCAGATGTGGCTGTACCCTGAAAGTCCTTTGGTGCCTGGTGTACGACGCTCGTAGAAACCGCATCTCAGCCCAGCCGGGCGAGCAGGGTGCACTGGAGCCGGGGCGGTTAAATGAGGACACGCCCCCTTCCCGGCCACGCCCCCTCCGGACGTCTCCCCTCCATCTGCTCTGACACGCCCACTTCAGTCATACACCGACGACCAATCAGAAAAGGCCTTACGCAGGCGCTGCGGTCCAGCCAGCCAATAGGCGGGCGGCCGGAGCCGGGCTTGCCCGGGCATGTGGGAGCCGCCGGCTGCTGGGATACCATGTGCGTGCGGGCCGGAAAAGACTCGCAGGGTCGCAGGTGAGCTCGGGGACCCTGCTCGGGGACCTCGGGGTCGGGTGGACAGCCGCGGCGCATCCCTGGCCATTGTGCCTCCGCCCATCTGGCTGTTTGGGCGGGCAGGCGGGCAGGCCGGGCTCCGATCGCAGCCTCTCCGGGTCCCCGCCCTTGCTCGCGGGGTCCCGGGCCTGAAGGGGCGGAGGCCTGGACGCTGCGGCCGGTAAGTGACCAACGTCCGAGCTGGCCGCCCCCGCGCGTCCCGCCCGGGAGAACGCCAGCAGGGGGAGGGCTGCCCTGCGATTTTTATGTATTTATTTTTATTTAGGTCCTGGGAGCTTTTTAGTAGCACGGGGGACCTTATTAAACCAGGTTGTTTGTTTGGGTTTTTTTCCCCAAATTTGTGAGGTTATCGGAATCATGGCTTGGGGGGCAGGGGGTGTGGGATCTCGCGCTTAAAAAATCCAGGTTCCCGAGCCCTGTTCCCCTAAGGACAGTTCAGACGGTGTGGGGGCAGATTTGAGAATGTTTACTTATTTGGAGACAGGGTGTCACCATGTAGCCCAGAATGACCTAGAAGTCGGGATCCTCGGCCTCCCCAGTGTTGGGATTGCAGGTGTGCTCTACGTGACCCGCCAGGGAGAATCTGAGTTCTTACCATTCTCTTGTTCTGGGTAGTTAATTGTGGTTGGGAAGTCTTAATTCACAGTGACAAAGGGACAGTGATTCCCCTGCCAGAACAGGGTCTAGAACTGCCCACTGCCTTCCTGACCACCAGCAGGTTGGTGGCTCTCAGGCCACTGAGGATTCTGGTGTCCTGGTTTCTTGGACTCTGGCAGGGAGACCCCTGCCTGAAGTCTTGTGTCTGCTGTGCCGACCCCCGGACTGCTTGGGTTTTGGGTGGGAGAAAGATTTGTTTGTCCTTGTTGAAAGGGTTGTGTCATTTGAACAAAACTTCTTTCAGCTAAACTGAGGTCCATGTGGGGCCCAGGCTGGAGAGACCTGTCCTAGATAATTGTAGGTTCTGATGTGTCTCCAGGCCAGAGCGTATGGAAAAGGACTGCTTTTATCTCGTCAAACAAGGCTACAGAGACCCTTCTCAGGGGGACCTAATTTTAGCTTCTTTAAAACCTTGCCAGAGCTGAGTGCTGGTGGCTCACACCTGTAAATCTTAGCTACTTTGGAGACTGAGATTGGGAGGATCTTGTTTTGAGGCCAGCCCTGGTAAATAGTTTGAGAGGAACCCCACCCATCTCCAAAATAAACAGAGCAAAATGTTAGAGTGGCTGCTTTGCAAATGTGAAGCCCTGAATTCAAACCCCAGTCCTACCAAAAAATAAAAAAGCTTGCCACCAGGGCCAGAAGAACCTACCCACCATAGCCCTGGCCTCCATTCCTGACCTGCAGATCCCACATCCCCTCTCAGGGAGGTCACTCTCCATCCATGATTAGCAGGGTCAACCCCAGGCTTCTTAGGCCAGGTTTTCTCCCATTGTTGAGCTAAAGTAAGTAAATTGAGTCTACCAATTCTTTTTTTTTTTTGGTGGGATTGGAGCTCAGGGCTTCGCACTTGCAAAGCAGGCGCTCTACTGCTGCACCTACACCTCCAGTCCATTTTACTCTGGTTCTTTTGGAGATGGGGTTTCTTGAACTATTTGCTGGGCCGGCCTCAAACCTTGATCCTCCTGATCTCAGCCTCCCAAGTAACTAGGATTACAGAGGGGAGTCACCATCACCCAGCTTGATGAACTAGAATCTTCCAGTTCTAAGATGTGGTTTGTCAGTATGAGGAGCTGTTTATAGTTAAGAAACTTTTTAAAAAGAGAGGGAGCTTTGTGTGGAAGAGAGGAGGGAGTAAGCCAAGACTGGATGAGTCAGCATGGGTCACCATGCCTCGCCCTGCCTCGGTGCCAGGACCCCCTCATACCCGTGGTGGCATTAACAGGCCTGGCACTTGGCCTTGCTTCCCACCCCCTCTCCTTCCTTTTAATCCGTGCTGCTTCTGCTCAGGTTCTTACTCATCCAGACTTCTTCCTAATGCAGCCTCGAGCCTTTCTCTCCTTGAAGCCCCCTGGTACATCCCACCCTCAAGAACACTCCTCTCCCACTCCACCTGTTTCCTAACTGTGCATCACTTTGCTTTTCAGCAAGCACATCAAACTCTGCTCCTCCCCCCACTCCCAGGATCTCTCTGGCTGCTGGGCCTTGCTCCTGCCATGTATCCCTCCTTCCCCTCTCCCCAGGTGCCTGGTGGACCTTTCTGAAACCCTGAAGTGTCCCCTCCCCTGAAGGACCTCCTGGCCCAGTGTTCCTGCCTGTTCTGGTGCCTGTCTCTGCTGTCAGGTACCCTCCCTCTTAGTCCCATTGCCACCATCCAGAGCAGGCCCTGTGACTCTCAGGCTTCCTCTCTCTCTCCCCACCATGCCAGGACACCGTGAACTCCAGCCCTGTAGTTCCCACAGTCTGGCTAATAGCAGCCCCAGCTCAGGCTCCCTTCACGTCCTTCTGAAGAGGGCCTGTATGGGCCAGGTTCTAAGCTGGCTGTCGTAGGACAGGAGAGAGACAAACAGGGCTTTGTAACCCCCCTCAGAGAGCTCGGAGGCACACTGTGTGACTGTTGACTTTGAGGAGTGTGATAAATTCTAATTGTGCTCACAGGGCACGGGTGAATGTCTTTGTTCCCCAGCTAGACCACTAATGTACTGGACCATGTTACAGTGACCTCCCTAGATACCTCTGGGGGTACCTCTTAGGGCTCCCCCACTCACTTGACCAGTAGAGACCAGGCTGGAGACGCCAGCCTGGGGGAGGGGTAGCTTGTGGAAGGGCCACCAAAATGGGGGCTGAAGATGGGGTAGGAAAAAGTAGTGGTATCCCCAGCTGTGGTCCACCTCAGGCTTTGCACCCCAGTGATGCCTAGCTGCCTTGGCCTGGGTTACTCCTTTGTCAGTCCTTTGCCTCTAGCACAGCCGCTGTCTTTTCCCTTTACTTGGGGGGGTTAGTACTCCACATTGACACAGATGCCACTTCCAGGAAGCCTGTGAATCAGCCTCCAGCCCCTTAGCCTGTTCTGCTCTTGGCACCTCCAGTCTAGCCTTTACCACTGTCTACCTCATTTCTGTCTCTGTGACCAGACTAAACTCCATAGTCCAGAATCCATCTGTGTAACTTTTTGTCCAGCACCTGGCGTCTTTGGGACCCCAGAAAGTCTCAGTGTACCGTGGGGTAAAGAGCTGGTTTCAGAAAATCACAGAGAGCAGCTGGATCTGAAAAGGACATGACTGGGAGGGAGGCAGGGGGAGGCCTGGGGCATGGGAAGGTCGTTGAATCCAGTCAGAGGCAGCTCTGGCCTGGGGACAGCTAGTTGCTAGCATGGTCAAGAGTCAGCCTTCCTGGTGGTAGGAGGCTGGTGGCTGTGGAGCCACACTGCACATAGCAGTGTGTCCTTCACACACAAAGGGCAGCAGAACCCCGAAGCATAACCGTTGTGAAGACCCAAGTCAAGCCCGGCCCTGCCCTGTCCAAGCCTCCTGTCAGGATCAGAGTTTCAGACTTTAGAGCATTTTGGATCTGAATGTTCAGCTGAGTATTTTTCTGTAGTCTCTCCTATAATCACACCTCTCTAAAGAGTTTCAGTGCTGACTGTTGGAGGTGAGCAGGGGCTTGCGGCATCCTGAGTTCCGACCAGCCTTTGTGGCTTCCCTGTTGGCTAGGTCCCCTAGGCCCTTGCCTCAGTTCATGCCCGTAGGTGACGTTACAGTGATCTGGTTGGTCTCTGGGGAGGGGGAGATTCCACACAGCACTTTGCTGGTGATTGACAAGTGGTGTGTACGCCAGGGGCAGTTCTTAGTGAGGAGGGACTTGGCTGAGACTCAGGTGGGTAGCTTGACCTCCAGTCCTGGTGCTGGGGTGGCCTGGTTCCTTCCTCTCTCACCCTGCCTGTGTGCCCTCTCTCCAGTGGAAGACGACCTGCCAGGATTCCCCTGCCCACAGCTGTGGGCCACCTGGCATGGTGCTGGGGGAAGCCCCCGAGTCCGCTCAGTGCCCATCCCGCACCACCATGAATGCCGATGATGTGGTTCGGTGGAAGCACAAGAACAGGAGCCGACAACACCAGCGGCTCATGGCCCACAAGGCCTTGCTCCAAGAGCAGGGGCTGCTGAGCCTGCTGCCAGGGCCAGGGTCCTCGCAGACACCAGGCACCGAGGCTGCCAGCAGCAGAGGCTGGCATCCACAGGCTGGAGCTGGTGTTGGTGGCCTTTGCAGCCGAAGACGCACCCCCAGGGAAGCCCCTGGACCCCTGCCCAGTAAGTGTGTGGCTATCGACTGCGAGATGGTAGGCACGGGCCCCCGAGGGCGAGTGAGCGAGCTGGCCCGCTGCTCCGTGGTCAGCTACCATGGCGACGTCCTCTACGACAAGTACATCCGCCCTGAGTTGCCCATTGTGGACTACCGCACTCGCTGGAGTGGCATCACCCGGAAGCATATGCACAAGGCCATCCCCTTCCAGGTGGCCCAGAAGGAGGTGAGCACCAGGCAGGGGCAGAGCAGCCCTGAGTTTGAGTCGCCACTTTACCCCTGGGGGGTGAGGGACCTTGGAACAGTCACTTCTCCAAGCAGTCCATTCCTTCTCCATAGAAGAGGGTGAAAACAGTCCTGACCTTTCCTTGAAGAGCTGCTGGGTGTTAGCATGGCCGTGTTAGCAAGGCTCTGCTGTGGTAAAGGACCAGCAGCCTCTATTTCAGATTTTGCTTTCTGTTAGAAAGCATCAGACCAGGTGTGGTGGTACACTCTGTAATCCCAGCATTTGGTAGGGCTTGGACTACATAGTAAGACCCTGTCTTTTTTTTAAAAAAACAGTGTTGCATATCTGTGTAAAATTTGTACAGCCACAATCTGAGAGGAGTTGGGACCAGGAGGTGGGAAGTTCTGGGTGGGTCTTCAGGCTGAGAGCAGGACCTGTGCCAGCCGTAAGAACTGCTTGTAACCAAGTGCCAGTGGCTCATGCCTGTAATCCTAGCTGCTTAGGAGACAGAGATCAGGAGCATGGCTGTCAAAACCAGCCCCAGGGAAGTTCCAAGGCCCTATCTCAAAAATACCCAATGTAAAAAAGGGCTGGTGGAATAGCTCAAGCTGTAGAGTGCCTGCCTAGCAAGTGTGAGGTCCTGAGTTCAAATCCCAGTACCACAAACAAACAAAAAAAAGAATTGCTATATCTAGTGACTAGAAGATCTAAACCACCATGGCCTCCTTTAATCCTCCCAGCTGCCCCTGGAATGTTATCACTAGTGGCTGGTTGTGTACAGGTGCAGAGAACTTAAATAGGCCCTGTTCTAGGCAGCAGAAGGGCCTGGATTCCGAATGGGCTGGTGTGGTGGACTATGGAGCCCGTGCTCCCCCTCTGCTGCCTCTCCAGAGGTGTCTCCTGCTAGCCTGACGGTGGGGCCTTCTCCTTCTCCTCTCCACTCAGATCCTTAAGCTCCTGAAGGGCAAGGTGGTCGTGGGGCACGCACTGCACAATGACTTCCAGGTTCTCAAGTATGTCCACCCTCGGAGCCAGACCCGGGACACCACCTATGTCCCAAACCTGCTCAGCCCGCCCAGCCTCCACTCCCGAGCCCGCGTCTCTCTGAAAGACCTTGCCCTGCAGCTACTACACAAGAAGATACAGGTGCGGGCCTCAGGTGCAGGGGAGGGAGGGAAGCCAGCCTGGCCTCCATGCCTTCCCAGTCCCTGTCACCTTGCATTAATCAGGGGTCTCCCTGGCACAGGCAGCCCTGATGTTTCTACACCCTTCTCCAGTGAGCACTGCCCAGAGATGGCCGCAGGTCTTCTGCCCCATCTGTGTCCTGCCTCTGCTCTGCATCCCGGGAGGGTGCTGTCCCATCCCACAGCCACACCTGGAGGTACCTTAGTGGGCCGGTGGCCCTCCTGCTGTCCATCATTCTCATGCCCCTGCCCGTCTGTCCTTTGGAGCAGGGGAAAACGGGCTTGGAGAATTGAGGGGCCCATGGTACATGGCTCAGGCTCCACCCCTCTGTCTGCAACTCCATTCCAGAAAAATGTGTTCTTGGATTTGTGCACAGAGCTCCAGGTGGGGTGCTGGGCCTGTCTGACCAGGCAGTGACATGCTGGCTTCTGTCCACAGGTGGGCCAGCACGGGCACTCGTCCGTGGAAGATGCCATGACAGCCATGGAGCTCTACCGACTGGTGGAGGTGCAGTGGGAGCGGCAGGAGGCCAGCAGGCCCTGGGCCCACCCCGAGGACAAGGGACCTGACAGTAGCACAGACATGGAGCAGTACATGGAGGACAAATACTGGCCTGAGGAACTGGCCCAGGGCCCCAGAGGAGGAACGGAGGAGGCAGAGGGCTCAAGGGAGTGAAAGGAAGGAACCAGAGAGTGGGCAGTGGGGGCAGGGAGCACTGGACTGTCCATTTTGTGCAGGGCAGGACACAGCCCGTGGTCCTCCCCACTGCCCACCTTGCCTTGGAGGAGAGGAGCCCCTTTTTCCTGACACCCCTGGTTTTGCTCTTGGCACTGTATTATCTCCATGGTGAGGGCTGTGGACTGTGTTGTAGGACCCAGCAGGTGTAGGGAAGGTGTCAGCTGACATCCCAGACTGTCACTGGCTTCCCCACCCCCAGGCTCCTGGGGTCACCATGCTGTGCTATGTGTATCCAGGGGTCCCCTTTCTTTTGGGGGAGGGGAGAGATTAGTATCCTGGAGATTCCTTGTCTCAACTGCGTGGCCGGGCAGTCATGTTCCGGGTGACTCTGTCCTGAGGGCAGAGTTAAGGCCTCTGGAGGAAGTATTTCTTCCCCATCTCTGAGCTGGAACTCTAGCCACAGCCACTGTAGGACCTGGGTGCCTGCAGGGCCTGTCACCTCCGTGCTGGGCTATGATGGGTTAGTAGAGTCCACAGCTGCCTGTGAGGAGCTGGCCCATCACAAGCCTGGCATCAGAAGTCAGCCTTCACAGTCACCAGGAGGGAGAGCACAGTACGTTGGAGAACTGACCTGTTTGTTTTGACACAGTCAGGAATTCCCCTGCCCACTCAGAGCTAGGCTTCCTTACTCTAAAGCCTGCAAGACAACAAGACTTGCCCCTGGTCTCTTAAGAACAGCAGCCCCAGTGTTGGGAAGCAGTGCACATGTCCATCAGGGTGGGCTCTGACACCTGAGCAGTGTCCATGCCCCTCGCCTGGCCCCCTCAGCTCTGTAATTGGTGGTTACTGTGGCTGTTGGGTTTTCACTTCTAGAAGTGTCCTCGGGGACACAGCTTCTAACTGCCTCTTGGCACTGGACTTTAGGCAAGTCTGTAACCTCCCCCATGAGCCTGTCTCTATCTGTAAAATGGGGAGAATGACAAAGCTACCTCACAGGGTTGTTAGGAGCCTCCTGCGGTGCCTGGCACATACCTGCAGTAAGGATGACACTGAACCCTCGTTGCTCAGCAGAGCAGCTGCGGCCCCAACAGAAATGCCCTTGCTCAACTGCTCTAGCAGGGAGAAGGAAACTCAGGAGGTTCACAGTCATCTGCAGATCTTGGGCGGGGCTACCAGGTGCTGGCTTCTCACCAGCGTCCTGTCACTGTGTGCAGGAAATGATGACAGCAGGGCAGCACAGGGTCAGGGAGAGGGACACTACTGAACCATACTACCCAGTCAGTATCAGCTGAGGTCCTGATTGCACAAACTCGGGGTCACGGATGGGTTGGTCAGCAGAGGAGGGAGCTGGCTGGGTTCCAGGACTGAGTTCTGGATTCCTTAAAAATCTGTAGCTGGTGCCAGACTCAGGACTGGCAGGAACCTTGATCACTTGGTGTGGGAGTTGGAGGAAGGTGAGCTGCTCGCCAGTAGGGAAGGGGACTGTTCAAATCCATTGTCATAAAACCAATTGTTCTGGAATAAAACTTGGAAACATGAGGGAGGTGGTCTCTTGTGTGAATTCTCGGGCTGGAGCACAAGCCCCAGAGATGTCACCCTTCCAGGTGATGCTTTGGAGCCTGGCAAGAAAATACTAGAGCTGTGGAATTTATATAACTTCTTAAAGCTGTCCTATGACAGCAAAGTTCAGTTCACCTGACCCTGAAGTTTTTATTTAGTTGTAAAACACATCTACCAAAATGTACCATCTGAACTGTTTCTAAGGAGCACAGCAGTGTGAGCTATGTTCACGTTCTCAGAATGTCTCATCGTTCAAAACTGAGCCTGCACCCAGCCCTGGGCAACCTCCATGCTATTTTCTGTTTCTGTGAATTTGACTAGATTTTTCACGGAAGCAGAAGCAGAAAGTGTGACTGCTAGCATGTGTGAGGATTTACTTTTTTTAGGGTCTCCCTGTGTAGCCCAGGCTGGCCTTAAACCAAGATCCTCGTGCCTCAGCCTTCCAAATGCTGGGATTACAAGTGTGCCCATCTGTCTGCAGTGAAGGAGGACACCATGAACAGAAGCAAGCCCTGAGATCCTGCTTTGTAATTCACGGTATAAACACACAAGGGAGTTTGCTGGAGCAAATAATGCCACAATGTCATATTTAGTTTGGGGGCGACTGATTAGTTTCCACAGTGGTTGCACCATTTATGCTCCCACCACCAGTGCACAGGGTCTTCATTTGCTCACATCCCTGCCAACACTTGTCATTTTCTATTTTTAAAAAATGATCACCATCCTAGTGAGAGCGAGCTAATAGGGTTTTGGTTTGCATTTGCTAACGGTGAATGATGCTGACAGGGCATAGTTCATCTTTAACTCATTTAATTCTTACAGCAGGTTACATGTATTCCATTAGCACTGTTTCTAAGTTGTATCCCATAAGGTGGCTGTTTCTTAAGGTTCGTGTCAGCCTCTGGCATGTAATTGAGAAACACAGGCCCATGTTTTAGGGGTGCCAGCCAAGGCTGGAGAACACTCAGCTGCAAGGGCAGGCTGCCTCCAGGGGACCAGGTCTCTGCTCTGAACCTCTACTGTGAGCTGTCTTGGTCCATTTTGTCTGACTATAACAAAATACCTGAGGCTTGGTAGTTTATAAAGAAGAGGCTCATTTAGCACACAGTTCTGGAGGTTCAGGAGCCTGGCCTTGGCAGTCTGCCTGACTGGGGCCTTGTGGATGACATCACAGCAGTAGAAGCACACGGGAAGATGACACAGCAAAACAGGCAGCAGGAAAGGGAACAGTACAGCCGAACTCTATTACAACCCGCCTCTACCTGCCATGGGCATGACAGGTGGGCAGCTGTGGCAGGAGGTGTGACTTGTGAAGCTGCCTGCTTGCTGCAATGAGGTACCCTGGTCACCCTGTGTAAGGTTTGTGGACCTTACCTCCCTCCCAATGGGCACCGCTGGATAAAATGGAACATGGCCCCAGGAACCCCCCTGGCAGGGTCAGGGCTTCCTCCTCCCTCAGTGCTGTTAGTCACCAGTACCTGTCATCAACTGAGCACACAGCACCTTTGAACAAAAATTCTCTGATCCAGGCAAGATCCTAAGTGCTGGGAGCCCAGTGCTCAGTCAAACATGGCAGGGGGACTGTAAGTCACTAAAATGTGGAATCTTTTGCAGTGCTCGGTGCTCAGTCATAGGGTGAAAGGGCAGGAGGAGGGTAGGGCACTTTTAAATAGGCCAGGGAGAGGCCTGCAGGAGGGGGGCAAACCAGGTGAATGACCTGGGGCACAGCAAATGCCAGACTCAGACAGGAACAGGCCTGGAATGTCCCTTTGTAGCCCTGCTGGCCACCTCCACCTGGAGCAGAGCTGGCCTATCTGCTCCCCCTAACCATGGCCTGGCCCCAGGCTGAAGAGGAGAGCAAGACCTGGGAGGAGTCGCGGCATCCTAATCCAAGGCCATAGGCTGGAGGGTGGTACCAGTGAGTTTGGGAAGGCCAGTGGGTCACATGAAACGGCCTGGGAGTTGGGTTTGATTTATTTTGGCAACAGGAAGTCATTTAGTTCTTAAGCAGAGAAGAACTGACAAAACAGCACACGGGATTAGAGTTTAGACAACAAGTTTGGTGAGGCTCAAAGGACAGTTGGGAGCCATGAAGATGGAGGGAGGCAGACCACTAGCAGGGACACAGCCCAGGGACAGGTGAGGGCGACTAGGGAGGATGAGCCCAGAGGAGAAAAGGCAGGGCTCAGGCCACACAGAGAAGGCTCAAAGATGCTGACTGGACGCCACTTCATGGAACAAGTGCAGGAATTGGGAAAGAACCAGCTCACACCTATAATCTTAGATATTCAAGAGGCAGAGAACAGGAGGATGGTGGTTTGAAGCCAGCCCTGGGCAAATAGTTCCCAAGATCCTATCCCGAAAAAACCCATCACAAAAAAGGGCTGGTGGAGTGGCTCAAGGTGCAGGCCTGAGTTCAAGTCCCAGTACTGCAAAAAACAAAAAACTGTGCTCTGTATGGGGCACAAGGGCCTGTGGCCAGGACATCACTGTATTGGGCACTTGGGGTCCTTGGTGATTGCAGAAACAAACCTGCACTTGGATCTACTCTTAAAATACACATTCACTTTTCTTTTCCCCTTGTGGTGCTGGGGATCGAACCCAGGGCCTTCCATATTCATGGCAAGTGTTCTACCACTGAGCTACACCCCTGGGTCAAGTAACAGGCTGTTATTGCCTGTTTATGCTGCTTTATTTTCCTCCTAAATCAGCCTAACAACCCTTAACACAGAAAGTCCCAAGCAATTTGAATCCAAGCATTCAGGAGGGGAACCGAAAACACTCCTTTATACCTCATATTTGAACCAGCTGCACAGCAAACAAGAACAATGCCTTATTATTGAAACAGTTCAGGATCTGGTTTTATTTTTGAGGTCTGTTAAAGTCAGACATCTGGCTTGGTGAAAAAACCACAAATCTGGGGAGGTCCCTTCCAGACCACAAATCTTTGTGACAATGGGACAGAGCAGGCTGACCAATGCTTATCCGTGTAGATCTGGGTGTGAGGTCACCACAGCGTACAGTTTGATGGGTAGCGTGGTCCACATTGAAAGTAGAGTCTGTTGGGATTTTTTTTGTCTTTGTTTTTGTTTTGACAGCAGTGGGGTTTGAACTCAGGGCCTGCTGCTTGCTAGGCAGGTGCTCTTACTGCTTAAGCTACTCTGCCAACCCTTTTTTGTGATGGAATCTAGTTCTTACTCTGCCAGCCTCTTTTTGGGTAGATTTTGGGGTTTTTTTGATAGGGTCTTGAGAACTATTTGTCCAGGACTGGCTTTGAACAGTGTTCCTTTTATCTCCTGAGTGGCTAAGATTACAGGTGTGAACCATGGGTGCCCAGTTTAGAGTCTGGATTTTTTTACCCCAGGTGTAATTCATTCTGTTACCAGAGGATGGGGTGAGGAGGTTCCCACAGCTTCCCAGTTTCCATGCAAAATCCTGGGTCCTTGAGATCCACAAACATTGAAACACATTTAAGGAGTCTCACAAGGTTTAAGGTTAGCAAGGATTTATTCTAGTATAACAGGAGAAAGTATAAAGTATAGCCAAGTGGGGGAGAGAGAAAGAGAGAAACATTTTCTGTCCCCCGTACAGGAAATGGGAGCAAACACTCAACATGGTGGCCCCATTTCCTAGTCTACTGGAGAGCTGGAGGAATACATGTGGTCATACGTAATGGGTCTGGTGGCTGAGATGGTGGTTAACAGGGAGGGGTCATCCTGGCCCACCCAAGTCACAGGGTCCATAGGTGCACCTTACAACCACACTTTGCTAGACAGGATTATTCTCCACGCATCCAAAGATCCTTGCAGCTCCTTAACCTCTCGAGGAGGAAGGCAGCAGATAGCTCCTCTTTGCCTCCCTGTTCCTGTAACTTAGCATCTAAAAAGAGATGGGAGAGAGCTAGCTGCTCTGGCTCTGCAGCCTTTACTTCCTCATTCCAAAGTCAGAGTCTTGCTCTTTAAATATTATTTATTTATTTATTCATTTATTTTAGTTAGTTAGTTTTGCTGTATTGGGATTTGAACCCAGAGCCTACACCTTGAACCACTCTACCTGCCCTTTTTTTGTGATGGGTTTTTTTGAGATAGGGTCTTGGGAACTATTTGCTTGGGCTGGCTTCGAACCTCAATCCTCCTGATCTCTGCCTCCTGAGTAGCTAGGATTGCAGGCGTGAGCCAACCACGCCTGGCTTTTGAAGGGTTTTTTTGAGATAGGGTCTGACTTTGGACCACCATCCTCCCAATCTCTGCCTCCTGAGTAGCTGGGATTACAGGAGTGAGCCACCTGTACTTGGCCCCTTAAATATTTATTAAAATAATGTCTTTGTATCCTGCCTCCTAAGAACTCAAGGTTCCAGCCTGGGACAGTGTGGCCCCTAAGAGTATGGCCTGGCTGTTGGGGGCTCCCTCGAGGCCTGTTTGTCCTTGTCCTGACACGGTCTACCTAGCAAGAACGGATGGAGGCCAGTAAAGGCTGCCTCACTCCCTCCTGGCCCTCCCTGAACCAGGGGTGGGGCGTAGCCCCCTCCTACCCTATCCCTTTCCTGCTCTTAGTAATTAATGGCCTCAGTGTCCCTAGAGCAGTGCGCCCTGACCTCACAAGACCTCACAGGATATCAGAAGTTGCGGGACTTCCCCAGGCCTCCAGTCCTGGGGCTGTTTATCCTCTGGATGGAAGATGATGTGGCAATCCACCCTGTCCACGTCAAACGCATCATCGGAGGGGAGGGGGCGGGCAGGAGCAGAGGAGGGACACAGCCCCAGGCATTGACTCAGCTAGCCAGCTCCCCACCTGCCAGGCGGGGAGGAGGAGGAGGAGCAGCCCCGCCTCCCGCCCCCGGCTTCCCCTGATAACAAACCAGAAATTGAAACAGGGTTGGGATGCCCGGCTCGGAGTTAAAGATGAGTCACTGCCTAGAACCCCTGCAGTAGCAGACAAGTGGCAGCAGAGAGGCAGACACAAACCCAGGGCGCAGAGGCGGGCAGGTGAGAGTGGAGGTGGTGGGAGAGGGCTTCCTGGTCCCCAGGCTGCCTGGCAGGACCTCAAGGCCCTGGGACTGGGGAGGGAGAGGCTGGGGGGGGTGGTGGCAAGAGGCCAGCTTGCCCTGTTGCCAGGTGGCACTGGAGGTGAAGGGCAGGGTGGAGGGTGCGGACCAGCCGGCTGGGTGGTGGCCTGGAACTCCTGAAGGCTTGTTGGCTCTTGAGTAACATTCTGTTCCACCTCCACCCCTCCAGCACATCTGAGGGTCCCCGAGAAGCATGGCAGGCAGCCAGGAGGAGGTGGTGGCTATAGACTGCGAGATGGTGGGGATGGGGCCCCGCCAGGTGAGCGGCCTGGCTCGCTGCAGCATCGTGAACCTCTATGCCGTGCTGTATGACAAGTTCATCCGGCCCGAGGGGGACATCACCAATTACAGAACCCAGGTCAGCGGGGTCACACCACTGCACATGGCGGGAGCCACACCGTTTGCGGAGGCCAAATCTGAGGTCAGTAAAGACCCTCCCGCTTCCCCAGTTCCTCCCCTGGAGTCTGCTGTGAGGCCACCTTACAAGATTGCCCAGCATCACCCTGGGTTATTGTGTTGGGCAGAAGAAGAACTCAGGCAAGGCACAAAAGGTAGTAAAAGTGACAGTGAAGTTTTTTTGGAGGGATCACACTTTCTACAGACTCTAGAGTGAGAGCAGTGGGTCAGGTTTTAAGGTTGCAATATTTTATTGGGAAACTCTTAGCTTTGTGTCCTTTTTGGCCCCTGAGTGATTCCCAGAGTTTGGGTCATTGTCTTGTTAAGAGAGACGTTGTGTAAACTATTTACTGTTACCTATATAAACTATGTCCTGCCCTAATTGATAGAGAATTTCTGTTTGAAATTTCTAACCTTTGCTCTACCTAGCTCTTAGGTTTGGGTCTTTGTTTTGATAGATGTACCTGTGCCACCACACCTACGAGGTGGTTAAGAGGTGGGTCACTCTTGAGTGGATTAAGGTTTAGCTGACTTCAAAGCACCTTGTGATAGCCCCTGGTGCCGGCCATCTGATCTTAAATAGATCAGTGGAGTTGGGAAGTTGAAACACAATGATTCCTTCCTTTCTTCCTCTTGTGGCCACCACTTCTGTCTAACTGCTACCTGTCAACCTCCAAGAACAGAACCTGAGGTTCATATCTGGCACTGCCTTTAGGGCATCTAGTCCAACGACTTCCTGGTCTTGTAGTGGGGACACTGAGTTCCAGCTGATGATCCCCTGCACAAGGATTTGAAGTTACATTCCCTGCTTTTTCCTCTAAACCAAGCTGCCCTGGTGAGGTCTGTGGGGAGGGAAGGAGGGAGGAAAAGGCTCCTGGGTTGAGCAGATTTTGGGAAAGAGGCCAGAGCCTCTTGGGCAAGGGAGGCTGCCAGCATTACAGCCCATGGCAGACCATCCACTCAGTTTGAAGTCCTTTGTGCTCCCAAGATTTCCCAAGTTCTTCATCTTCCCCAGGCATAACTTTCTGTTTCTTAGACAAACTAAAGAGAAAGCAAAACTCAACCTGTGTAGAAGGTTCCTCAGGGTTAGCCACCTCTGGGCAGTTTCAGTAGGGCAGGATGTGGGGAAGTCCAAGTGCACAGGAACTGAGGCTGACCTCGATTGTCATGCACAGCACCAGCCGGCCGGGGCCCTGGAAGTAAAATCACAATGCTAATGTTTACTGAGCCTTCACCATTTATTGCACACTCCCACTCCATGAGCTGCCAGTCCTCCCCAGAGCCCTGCCGGCTAGGCTCAGACCCCAGAAGCCCAGGGCAGCTTCAGCCGGGTGACCTCAGGCAAGTCACACAACCTCTGTACCCGGTTTCTCCATTCATGAAAGGAAATGGGGATAGTGACAGTAGCCACATGAAAGGGGTCTTATGAGGACTGAGAACAGGCCCAGAGAGAGCATCTATCTAAGGACAGTGGACCTTTGGTATCCACAGATGGGCTTCCTGTTCATGGATTCAACCAACCGCGTCTAGAAAGTGCTAGAAAGAAAACCACCTCCGTACTGGACACGTACAGACATGTTTCTTATTATTCTCCAGATAATGCAGTATGACAACTATTGACACAGCCTTTCATTGTCTTAGGTGTCACAAGTTATTAGGATTTAAAGTGTGTGTGAGGACGTGTGTAGGTTTTATGAGAATTCTACACCCTTTTCTATAAGCAACTGAAGCATCTGTGCATTTTGGTGATTTTGGTAACTGGGGGGTTTCCTGGAACCAGTGCCCCATAGATCACCAGGGCCAGTCATCCCCATTGTTAGCTGTTATCATCTGAGGCTGGCTTGAGCTACTGCCCTGGTTGGCAAGGGCTGCAGTCTTAGACACACATCCGGGGCTTGAATAGCTGAAAAGTGTTGTCTCCCAGGGCTGGGGTGTTGGAGGTCGGGGCCAAGGTGTTGGCAGGGAAAGTCTCTTCTCTCCCTCTCTGTTTCTGGTGATTGTTGGCAATCTGACTTGTAGAACAACCACCCTATCGATCTCTGCCTCTGTGTTCATCCTCCTTCTGTGTGTTTGTGTGTGTGCGTCCAAACTTCCTTTTTTTTTTTTTTTTTGGTGCTTTGAGGTAGGATTTCACTATGTAGCCCCAGGCTGCCCTGAAACTCATGATCCTCCTGCCTCAGCCTCCAGCCGCTGGGATTACAGGCGTGTATGGCCACACCCGGCCCCAAATTTCTTCTTTTTAAAATAGGACATCAGCCATACTGGGTTATCTTCTGTATGACCTCATCTTAACTTAGCCAATCATGGTCAGCCCTCGGTATCCACAGGTTCCACATCAGTAGGTTCAATCAACCAAATGGAAGATACCTGAAAAGAAGTGTGGGTCTATACAGAACAGATGCAGACTTGTTTCTTATCCTGACTCCTTAAACAAACAGCATACCTAGCATTTGCATTGTGTTTTAAGTAATCCAGAGACGGTTTAACCTGTACTGGAAGATGTGTATCGGCTGTCTGCAAACACCACGCCATTTCACAGCTGGGAGTTGAGCCTCTGCAGATTTCAGTATCCAGGAATCCTGAAACTGATCTCCCTTGATACCGAGGGACAACGGTATCTGCCATGACTGTTTCCAAATGAGTCACATTTCTAGGTACTGGAGATAGGAATTTGGGAGAAGGGGACACAATCGAGCCTGTCACACCAAGTTCCTTGTGCAAGGTCAGATAGTTAGAAGAACCGGGAATTGCTGCCAGGACCCCAGACTCAGGTTTCCGTCCTCCCCTAGGACAACCGCGGATTGCCGCTGAGCACGGAGGTGTGCTGGGCTGACACAAGACGTAACGTGCACAGTGGGTTTGGACTGTGAGATCAGGAGGATTAAGGTTGGAGGCCAGCATGGGCAAACAGATCTTGGAGACTCATCTCCAAAATCACCAGAGCAAAATGCTTATTTTGTGGTCAAGTGGTAGAGCGCCTGCTTTGCAGGCACGAGGTCCTGAGTTCAAACCCCAGTCCCACCAAAAAAGAAAAAAGAATCAAAATACCTCGGTATTGTGTGGTACTGATTATACACTGAAATGATTACATTTTTGACAACTTGGTTAAATGAAAAGTTAGAATTAATATCACCTGTCCCTTTATTTTATTTTATTTTTTGATATGGCTATTGGGTGATTTTTCTATTGTACAGTGCTGTCCTAAAAGTCCTAAGATGGGGGGAGAAGGGGGCTGGACAGGGGCACAGCATATCAGGGGGGTCTGGGAAGACCCCATGAAGCATTTGAGAAGGGTCGGAGAAGAGTGTTGTGCAGAATGGCAGGCCATTGGGAGTCATGGAAGATTCTTGAGCAAGGGCATGGCAGGACAAAAACGAGTTTCAAGAAAACCAGAAGCAGCTCATCCTGGTGATTCACGCCTGTAATCTTAGCACCCAGGATTCTGAGGCAGGAGGAGCAAAAAGTTCAAGTCCAGCCTGGGCTAAGTATCGAGGCCTTGTGTCAAAAGAAAACTAGAATGGGGTGCTATGGGGGATGGGTGGGAGTGAAGACAGGGCTGGCAACAGAGAAGAGGCAGAAACCCTAAAGAAGATGAAGGGTGTGAGTCACCCATGTGGGCCAAGGATTGGATGGGAGGGGACTGAGGAGTGTCCCAGCAAGGGGAGGGCACGAAGGAAAGGTGGGAACCTGTTCAGATTCTGACAGGAAGCCTAGGGACTCTTCAGGGACTCCCCCCAAAGATCCCCACGGAGTCAGTGTGGACAGAATGTCTCCAGCCCCCTCCCCAGCAAAGTGACAGAAGGGCAGAAGAGTCTGGGGTGCAGGAGAGAGGCCCTTGGGTTCCCTGGCCTGGAAGTGAGACCCTGGAAAGCTGCCATTCCCGGGACCCCTGAGTCGGACGACTCAGCACCCAGACAGGGGGACAGAAATGCTTATTGCTCAGCTAGGGCCTAGGCTACGCCCGGGGCTTCAGATGCAGGACACAGCCCTCCAAGCCACTAGGGACCTGGCCCCTCTCTGGAACCGCCTTGGGTCTTCCATCCAGTGTTCCATGGCTTCCTGGTTTGTGTGACCTTGGGCAAGTTACTGACCCTTCTGTGCCTCAGTAGTACACCTCTTCCCTGGCCCTGGCACAGCGACATGGCTGTGGCCCTGCGTGCAGTGCCCGGCTCGTGGCTGGCGCTCACTGATCATGTCCAGGGTGCATCTCAGCCCTGACTTCCTACGGCCGTCACTGTGGCCTCCCTCCTTCCCTGCCTCACCCTCCTACCCAGTGACCAGGGAACTTCTCCAAGCCTGGTTCCTCTCACAGACCCTGCTGCTCTCATGCCTCCCATGGCTCCCCATTGCCTAAGCTGCCCCTGGGCCCAGCATCCAGGGCTCTGCGCACCCCTGCCTACCTTTCTGCCTTGTACAGCTCAGCCCTGCCCTCCGGACAAACCCTTGCTCTCCTTATCCTGCATCCCTGCTCGTGGACATGATCTCCTTCTAGCTGTCCAGGGAACAGGAGTCTTTTGGGGTGCTCTCCCTGCATTGCCTCTGCCCCACCAGACCCGCAGCGGAGTCCCCCAGCCTCCTGCCCGTGCTCGTGAGTTACCTGTCCACATACTGTACCCCCATGCTCTCTGCTTGGCATTTGGATGTGCCCTGGGAAAGTCTGTGGGGTGGGAGTCAAACTGATTTTCCTAAACTGCACAAGAGCTCTGGTGGCCGTGTGAGCTAATGTCGCCCCTGTCCTCCAGTTGCCTTTTGCCAACCACTCCTTTGAGGTGCAGTTGATGGATGTGCTACACAGGGAGGCGGGGGTGGGGTGGCGGGGGGACAAACATGCTGCCTTTACACTTGGCTGGATGAGCCTCCATCCCAACTCTGCCACCTGCTGGGTCCGTGTCCTCTGGCTTATTGCTCTCCCTGTCTGTGATCCCCCCAGCAGGACCCTGTGGAACCACAGGGATGACACTGCCAGTTCCTTTATTTCCCACGCATTGCTGGAGTCCATCACTCCCACTTTTCAGATGAGGGAAA